CCCCAAAACCCCAAAACCCCAAAACCCCAAAACCCCAAAACCCCTTTATAAGAAAGAAGAATTGAAAACTAGAATAGAAGTTAAACATGGATAATTTAAATCAAAAGATTGAGTTTAAACATGGCCATATCTATTTGGAAACAGATGAGAACCATGCTGTCTCTGGTCAAGAGCTTAATGGAAGGGTACATTTGTATCTCACGCAACCCTTCCCTGCTGCTAGCTTAGATATTGTGATGAAGGGGATTGAAGCAGTCAAATGGGTCTCAGGAGAAGGCACCGAAAATAAAAGGAAGCATGAGAAGATAAATACCCTTACAGATACTAGGCAAATCATTTACTCTTTCCCTCAGAGCATAGCCATGCCTGGACAATATACCTTTCCATTTAGGATTTTGATTCCTGCTGGGTTGCCTTGAAGCCTTATGTTTGCAGGCACTAGACGCTCAAGAGCAATGGTGAATTACTCACTTTTTGCGATTCTCAAGCCTGAAGAAAACACTACATTGGAGGAAATGAAATATAAAACTGATATCTCTATGAGAGAGCCTATAGAGAATATCAGAACAGACTTTGATTCATGAATAGAGTCAAAAATCAATAGTTGGTTCGGTCTTAGAAAGCACGGAGAAGTCAAACTCAAATTGAAGTTTGATAAGGACTTTTACTTATCAAATGAAATGGTAGTAGTTCAGTGTGACATTGACAATTCTCAATGTAAGATTCCAATAAAATAAGATCAAGATGAGTCTGAAGCAAGTTATTAAATTAAAATCCGGCACTGGAACTTTTCTGAATAGATATACAAAATGGAAGAACTATTATGAAGGTATTCCTAAAAGAGAACAAACAGGAGAATCCTCAAAAGTAATGGAGATGAATCTAAAATTTGTCAATGGCAATATTAATAGAGGACTAGAAGAGATTTTCACATTAGAGACTACAGATATAACTTTGCTGACTAAACAGCTTCAACCTTCTACAAGTGGGACTTATGCTAATATTTCATATATTGTCTCAGTAAAACTATATTATGGAATAAAATCAAGAAGATCTACAAAATGTGAAGTTCCTATTATCATTCAGCCTTGCGAAGAAGAGGAAGATGCTAAAGTAGAAGCTCCTGAAGGTTGGAGCCCTATTCAGATACAACAAGAAGGTGATATTGAAGCTTCAAGTCCTTCTCTAGCTGCTTCTCCTGAAGATATTCAATATGTGGATCCTGAGTGGAATCAGAATCTCAAAAAAAATTAATATCAATTTCACTTTAGGTAATCAAACAGATTAGATGTTTAAATTTCAATCTTGTCAGGAAAGAACTCTATGTTTATCAATCCTATCCAAGAGTCCCCATCGATGTTTTAAATGGAAGGTAAAGTTTCAATAAATGAAAAAATAGTAGGGGTTTTGGGGTTTTGGGGTTTTGGGGTTTTGGGG